GAGTGCGGGGGCGCATACTTCAGACGATTAACGCCGAAAACTTTATCCTTTTATCCTTATGTATATATATAAGGATAGTAGAGAAAGGCAAACGCACATGCACACATACAAGCACAGGCATACATATACACATCTTCACACATACAATCACGCACATATATATGTGCACTGCACACATTGTGTATGAACACACATACATAAATACATACACGCACGTACGCACACCCAGATACACATGTGCACATACACAAATAATACATGCATACGCAAAGTGAATATTTACTCGATAAACAATACACGTGCACACATATATACCATACATATCTTCTAACACATCCAGACACCATATGCTCACGTACACGCACATGAACACACATATCTTCTCCCAAACACAGATAGACAGACCCGCGCATATACACGCACACACACACACACCGTGCACAGCGCTGTACATGTAGGACGGATTCTACACCCTAATACTTTTGCTGCTGTCTGCGGAAAGCAGCACTAACAAGGGGGATTTGAAGAGGTCTTCATCGCACTAATGTCTAGGAAAACCAAACGCTTAACTGCGAGAAAATAAAAACACCTACTCGTTCTCTATCCGATTCCAAACGACGAGGCGTTCGCGGTCGCGATAACGAGGTGCTGACATTGTGGTTTGGCAAGCCCAGATCGATGGGCGTTCCCACCCGTGAACCTATTCGGGAGACAACGTCACGTTCAGGAAACGGCGACTCAGTGTTCCTAGCTTTGATTTCGGTTATTGTGCGGCCAAGTGCTGTATAAGCTGCAACAACGAAATTATTAGAAAGCGTATCCCTGCATCGACGGTACAGAACAACGAAGAGGTTTGCATTTTTTTTTTGTCAGAAAGCTTAGGGAGAGTTGAGGAAGGTTGATTGCAGCTAAGAAACAACAGATCAAGAGATTTTGTTAATTTTAGCTTTTGTAAGAAATAGTGTTCTATAATTTAATCCAGCTCGTCGAGTGCTGTAAAACTGAAAAAGTTCGTAATGCTCCTCAATGGGGCTAATTATTTTAACACCAAATTGTTTCCAAATACATAATTATCCCTGGTGTCAAATCAAATTATAGTGACTTTTGAATAAATATTACCGAAAAATTATGAATTCTTTGTCCACGTGGATAATAAACCTGAAATGGCTCACACATAACTTTGATGTGCCAGAAGCATACCTGATCAAGAAGAAGCACTAGTTTGCTGTATGTTCTAACATAAAAAAGTATTACTCACGAGCACCTTGGTGAGTCGATTGTCATTGTGAAGAAAGATTTCGGGGCAAGTAATTTCGTAAAACTTTCAGAAATTTAGACAGTTCCTCCGTCAACACGTGTGATTCGATTTCCTTTTTCCATCACTCCCTTTCTTGATGCCCAGTGCACGACAATATCAAAAAATCCTGGATTATGGGAGTTGTTCCGATTCACTATGGTATCTACTCATCCTATTGATCACTACGAATCTGAATGGAAGTCAAATGCGAAGTACATCCCCTGGACGGGCAGGCAGCCAAGATTTCATCCCTTGATCCTAATGAATTTTTCACTAGTAAAGTTCAAAATCATGTATCTTGAAAAGACGACTGCCTCTAGCATCTTCACTGTTATCGACCAGACACAAAGTAAAGTTCCCGAAATGATTCCCGGACATAATCGAGCTGCTCATGATTGAACTAAGTTACTTTCCAGTAAATATGTTGTTGAGAATGTTTCTAACAAAGGAAGGACACTTGGTCGCAGAGGCCATTCAATATGAGATGTATACCCCCCGTAGGTGGTTTCGAACGCTGATCTCAAATTTCGCTACTGACAGTCGCCTTTGGCGACAGCGGATTTTCTCCGCGTGAGCGATGGAACCTTGGCTACTGAAGATGACAGCGTCGAAACGTTAGGCCGTTTGACTGAATAAATTGTTCCACCTAAAAAACTCGTGTGGCACAAGATAATAATTATCACAAACAACAGTTATGCCGAGGTTAAAGCATGAGAGAAGTTGGAGGCTGATCTCAAATATGTGTTCCAAATATGCGAAACGATTCTGGAAACAACGTTACGGGACCGATGCCTCCCTATGTTATACCACTGCACTGATTGGATCACCGAGCCGAGCAAAGCCCTTACCTGTGCAGCGGTGGCCTAGCGGGTAGTGTGGTGGGCTAATAGGCATCACAAGCTTCGGTCCCTTGGCGCATGCCCTTGTTTTACTTTCAAATGAAATGCGTTCTAAATGCTTGCAAAAGGGTCGCCTATCCATCTTTCTCTGCACTGAAGCTCAGTGTTAAATGAAAGTAACGCTTCCTTCCCCTGCTACACTACATTTTCTAACTAATCCGTTAGTAAGGGATGAGGCCCTGCGTACGACGGGCGACTCGTCCGATATAATATAAACAGAAAAAGAAAACTTTTATCCCGAAGCTTATCGTTGGAAATTCACCTGGAGACTGACTAGCCTGTGATGGTTGGTGTAACGGCTTTGGTGGAGCGTCTGAACTGAGGGATAGTTAAGATGAAAAATGTTAACAAATCTCTACCTCAATGCAACGCGTATAATAAAAACTCAAAAGCGGTGACTCACTGAAATCTAGCGCAAACTGACGTGGAGCGAACATTGTGGCAGAATCTGACCGGCGTTCTGTGGCAGAACCACCTGAATCGGTTGTTAACCTCTATTTTTCAATGATCGCTACCGTTTACTAATAGAGTTTAACAACAAACCCATTTTCAGAACTTCGAGAGAGCGTCGAAGTGAATAGAAGAAGCCTAGTTAACGTTTGCAGCGCTCATTTAAGGCAATGGATTCATTGTCAATTTTTTCTTGACTTCTCTTGGCGCTTTTGTAACATGGGATATGAGAAGAATGTTTTTGTTTTTATGGATTTGAAATTCTTAAATTCAGCGGTCCATATTCGACTTAACAGAAGTCTTGAGTGTACAATGCGAACTGACACCAAAGCATTATCAGAATTCGGCATCCGTGATTTCTTGACTGTTTTCTTTTGTGCAGTCGACCATCTTTTGTTGTGATGTGTTTTCTCCATAAGCCGGCTTGTCAAACTAAGTCTGACGCTAGTACCACAACCATTTTGCAGGACATGTTTTGCCAACAAGATCGATCTCGTGGTTGTCCTAAGTCAGAACACTCATCCACCCAGCCATTCCCGCCCATTCCACGAGATGAAGCGGCCCTGTGAAAGTTTGCAAGAGAAACGCTGAAGGAGACTCGGGGGCTATAGAGGAAAAAGGGAGCATGGTTCTGGAACGATGAGGTCCAAAGAAATGTAAAGCAGAAGAAGGAGGCGTATAAATGCTGGCTCCCTAAGTACCAGCTGTCTATGAACGTTGAAAAAGCCATGCCAAAGCTGCAGCAGCGAAGGCAAAAAAAAAAAATACGGAAATGGACGCCTTGCAAGGAGGCTTGGTAATAGAAAAGGAAAAATGTATTCCGACTAGCGAAAGACCGGAATATTTTCTTTTGAGACTACGGGGCAGTAAAGGCTGTAGGAGACAGCGACGGTGCAATTCTTAGTAAGCCAGCCAAGTACAAAGCTGATGGGGAGAATATTTCGACAGGCTGCTCCACGAAGAACTTCTCCTATCGCATATAGTGACATGCTTTACAATAGGAGCGCTGAGAACCTATTTGAATATTACTCCCGGTAACCCTGAGATTGTTTTAGAACGTGGTGACTGCCCGACAGTGGAAAAGATCCTTGTAGAAGATTGGCGATACATGTGAATTTGTGCCCCATGAGTTTCGCATCAAACTGGCAGTAAAAGTGCTGCACCCTACATTTAAAAAGAGAAGAATCGAATGGCTGATCGGTTGTTATTGTTAAGATTAAGAGCCACAAGTTCACCCTTATGATGAGAACTATAAGAATTATCAGATATTGAACACCACTTTCATTATTCTATTTGTACGGAATACCCCTCCTAGAAGCCGTGTGTTAAACTTGTATTGCACAGTATTACCACATTATCACACTATCCTTTCATCACGATAACATGACCGAGTTAAAAGTCGTACAGAAATCCACGACAACTGCTGATTTATTACTGTAGATGCGCACTTCGACATATGTATGCTCCTATTCTGATCAGATATCCATTGTTATGGAACTGCCGCTTCCCTTCCGTTTGAATTCATTGGAATTCGCTAATGCAACAAAATAAAGCTATTGCGATGATTTTTCAAAAAACTAGAAATGATTTTGCAAGTTGACTGAAACTACCTGTGTAGTAACCAGTGTGGTCGGAAGCGTAGCCATCTTGAATTCGTTTGGCGTTCATCAGTTTGTCCACGTCTCGAGGCAGCAATCGGCTTCTTTGTTGACGAGGTAGCGTTTGATTCTTAACGAACATATAAGTCAAACTATTTCTATAAATTATATATGTGCATTGGACGGAAAATATCAACAGACTGGCATCTGATCAAGGACAGAAACCTAGCATATTCAACATATTAGTTAAAAGCTAAAATCATAAGCATTATGATTTAGGTCGAAAGCGACATTATTGAGGTAGACTAACCGCCTTCAGCCCATCGCTGACTCCAAGTGCGTCGTCGAAGTCACTCAGAATATTTTCCAAGGAATCGCTGTAATATTATCATTATTAATTGACTCAGAAGTGCTGCCTCGTCAAATGTATAAGTATTACTAAAAGGTTAGAGATAAAATAGGCCTTTCGTGATCTACGAAACATTGCGCCGTCTTAATGAGGGGCTAACCAAGTATGACTTGCAGGTATATGTGAGAATACAGTAACTTGGTGTGTTGGTCTGTCTGTATGTCTGTATGTCGGTTTGTCGGTCTGTCCGTCCGCGAAACTTTATAGTTACGATGAAAGTTATGATATGGATACTTAGCTCTATTCTACATTTTCTTCTTTTAGATAAGGCAGTAACTTGGTGGGTAGAGCAATGGAGTGGAGTGAGTACTGCGGAATGGAGTTAGTGATGTGGAGTGAAGTGGGGACTTCAGAACTATGATTTCGAGTTGTACTGGCATCCTTTATGCATGCTATGACTGCCTTTACAAAAATCGCCGGTGATAATGTAGTTGAGAGGCTTCCGATTCTTTTTCAACAATTTCAACATAAGGAGGTTAGCCCATAATTGTGCTCATTAGCGTTTCTTAGCCGGAAACATACAGTTTCGACCTTTGCTCCAGGAGGGAAGGTGTACCAAAGTGGGTGAGCCAATTGAATATAACTCATACCCCATCCTAAGTTTTTGTACGAGATAATCTGCTCACCCCTACCCCGCCGCTCCTCTTCTCCTGTGGTTTAGCTTGGAACCATATTCTTCCGCCTAGAACCGTTTCAGATCAGGTCGGCTACCCCTCCTCAGCACACGAGCCCTCCGCGTTGGTTAGAAGCTAAGCCCCTCCCCCCCCCCCCTCTAACTANATTTTATAACTAATTGGTAAAAGTAAGGAATGCGGCCGGCGAAAGTCGGGCGGGCGATCCGACTGGTATGTATGTAGATAAAATAAGTGTGTCTGCCACTTTGCCGGTGTGTGTATGTCGGTATGTGCGCCATCTGAACTCCTTTTTTCCGCATTTCACGTCTATCTATTTACAGGATCCGAACAGAGTATACGTCAAAAATAATTAAATCTGCCTCCAGATAGAGACCGCGAAGATCTCCATTTAGAAGAAATCTACAGCCTCTGGAAAGGCTACATGTCAATGTCAAGTCGTTAAGGGCCCAGGCAGTGCGCAATAAGCGCTAGAAATGGCTACCGACACCCGCTACCGAACAATACTCTGGAAAAAAGCCTGACTGGCGGCTTTGTGGAAGCTGACATCTCTCAAAATGGAGCATATTCTTCGTAAATGCAACAGCTGTCACCTTGGTTTGGAAGTTCACCGTTGCCTTTCCAATCAACGCTACCGTCATATGGCCGAATTAAAGGTACGTGAAGTAGTGATGATCGTGGGTTTTGTTTTTAAATGTCGCGAATGATTCAAAGGTTCTCTTACCTAAAAATGCTGTCCAACGGACTCATCAAGGATCTTTCGCCATTCTTACGAGGAAGCGATGAGGTGCGAATTGTGCCTCCTTTACGCACGTCTTCAGCATAGGCAACGAAGTCGACATCAATGTGGAAACCGTATGGACAACAACGGCATTTGTCGGCGGCACGACGTCTCGTCGACATTGTATGTGACCGATCTACCTGAAATCTAATATACCGATTGCGGAGATGATAGTCCTGAAACAATATAAATCGATAATTACTGGGTAATTGTTCACGAATTCGCACAAAAAAAAACAGCGCCAACGTAAGAGTGAGTTAGGGGTTTTGAAAATCCACGGCCTCAATGAATGCATCCAGGACTTTGAAAGCACCCAAACAAAAAGCAAATCAAATCATTAGAGTGATGAAAAATCATTGTAAAGTAATTCTTGGTGATAATGAAGTTGGAAGACCCCCTCCCCCCGCTTCTGCACCTTGCCTGCACTAACGAAAGAGAATCGAGTTGATTGCTCGTGCTGGTGGGTTGATTTGCAGTGGAACGACCACTGCAATCCGCATACAACAGTGCACTGAAAGGGGAGCAGAGCCTTTAAAAAGATAGTCAAATGAATTAGTCGCCATCATCGAAACTGTCGGAGAAGATCTCAAAAATTCGATGAGCGGTTTTGGGGTGAAATTCGGGTGTCGACAATCCGCTGCTAGCTCGGCCCCAGGGAACACTTCCACTCTCTGATGGGCATGGTAAGTTGTGAGCAAAATGCCATGCCATCGGACGAAACATGAACCCGTACTTGTGCTACACTAAGCCCTTCATCGCTTTCAGTACCGAGACTAAGCTTGCCCTAGCTTTCTAAATCGCTTTGGTACCAACGCTTATCGGCAATTACACGTACAACGTGATGAGACAGCCAGTTAACATCAGCATTGAATCGTTAAGCTGTGAATTGTAAGCTGAAACTTTTTTTGACTCGATGTTCTTGCTCGAGTTTTGGCAAAATAAAAGCAATTTATAAGAGCATCGGGTCAGGATAAACTATTTCCACTAAAGTTTCTCCAAGCAGTCGAAATGGTGGGTGCGGGCGAGAAATACCAAAGAAATGGGCACTACCTTTGCGATCAGGCTGTTATCCTTCATTTTAAATTATGTTTTCGTAGGCTCCAATGGTTATGCATTAAGGTGTCATATGAAACATTTCACTCGCCCAATCTCTCCTTACTGTTTTACTACCACATCGTACAAATTATATTTCAAAGCTAATTTCCATTCAGGGATGACTCAGTGCTGAAAGAAGTTTTACAAGTAAAATACCACAATAATGCGAATGCAGAGTACTGTGGCAACTTCCGCAAGTAGAGTTGTGTGGTTTCCTCAAGTGCTTGCTTGCTACGAGTAGGTGGTCCAGTGGTAGAATATACGCCTGCCGCGCGGGCGATTCTGGTTCGATTTCGGGCCAATGTATCAAAATGTACGGGTGTCTCAGTGGTTTATTGAGTAACGGATAACCAGTAATAATGGAGTAAAATGAAACAATAAAACTGTAAGTGCGGACGTTACCGCAATGAAGATACAGAATAGTAATAAACAAGCATCTATCGAAAACTATACACTATCTAGCTTTGCCCTTGCCGTCGTTTGCGGTAGACTTGCTAAACAGGCCTTTCGGTGGTCCCGCTTGACCCCCATCATTAAGGGGCGTGGGTGAATTTAGGGAGCCGTCAGATAGTGAGACGACGAGATAGTTCAGTGGGATCTTCGCCACGATATAAACTCTAATTTTTAAGAGTACGCGAACGATTTGAATGAACACTCACTGCCTAGTGATGTTTTGTTCCTTTTTTCGTTTTCGATGGGTAGTAGTCTTATATTGTGTTAGGTTTTTACAGATGTACATCTGTGATTCTAAAGTCAAACCCAGTAAAAGTAAGCCTTGCGATTCACGAAATCGCATGATTGATTCAGCAGCTGCAGCTGCCCCAAATTTCATCGTGCCGGGAGAGAGCTCAGCCTCATAGAAGTGATTCCGAAAAACACTACACTGACGTTGAGAAAATGCAACAACTGCAAGCCGCTCGAGAAGAATCGAGAAGATCAAAAAAAAAAGGAGAAGACGGCGCAACATCATCTAATCAAGCAACATATTGAACGAAAACCTCCGCTTGTGGTAACTTCTTCTTCCGACAGGAGAAAAAAAGGCTTGTCACGATGTTGTAATAACAACTGACGAAAAATAGTGCTGCACGAAAATCTGAGACGTGGATTTGCTTCACTCAATTATAATAACACCCATGAACTATTTATTTAAAACATAATCATTGAGAAAAATGCTGTCTATTTGGGGATACAACATTGACGAAGGCCACAAAGCTCACTATAAACACGTCTGCTGTTTTCGATGGAATTATGATGTCGAGATTTGGATGGATCCAGAAGTAAGACTATCACTAACGAGGAGGGGTCTGAGCTGCTGCAAAATAATGTACTGTCACACACTTTGTAAAAGAACGAGCAATAACTGATGCAATTGAAATCAGAGGTCCCATTACATCCGCCCAATTTCCAAGACCTCTTCTCAGTCAGTATTCTTCCCGAGCACGCAAAATGATGCACAAGTGCGTACGTCGAAATAACTATGTAAATTGAAATAAGTCTTTCTAAAGTACGACTATACTTGCGATCCACCTTCTAACCATGATGGCATAAGTGAGGAGCCTGAATGTTGCAGCTACTAAGCAAAACCGCCACTATCATGGGTGCGTTTCGTTGCGCGAAACTCCGTTCCGTCGAAACTAGGTCACGCCGAGCCGTCGCATGCGGCGGCTCAGCCTGCGATACTTGACAGACGTCGCAGCTGTCAGTGGGGCATACGATTTACGCTTGGTCCACGGCAGTTAGCCAAAGAGAAGATAACACGGACAAATGCAAACCGTTTGCTCCATTGACATTTGGTGGTACTGTAACGTCATCTCGAGATCTCAATGGGGTGCGCCGAGCCGAAGTGACCTACTCCCGACGGACGCGCGCAATGGACGTTCTCCAGCGGCGGTCAGTGTCTATGAAGTCCATTATTAAACTCTCTTATTTGCGTACGTACGGATACTTACAGTGAAACGGTTAACAAACCGACAATCGAGGACAATAGCTCATACCACAAGGGACCAAATATAAGGTAGCAGAACAATCTGCACTTTTGAATGCTATATTTTACGATTTCAAGGAACTAAGAGTATTTATGTGGAGAAAAATATGCTATTTATGGTGGGGAAGCTGATAACATTCCACTTAGCGTAAATTGTTCGGAGTGCTATAAAAGGGTTATTGTAATCTATGCGATAAAGTCCCATTCCGGATGCATGGTCGACGATTAAAAGTTTAGAAGTCTTTTGGCGTTGATCGAACCCATTTAAGGGAGGCGCCCCGCATTCGATCTCCATCAGATTCGTAGCGGCATAGTGAATGCGTGTGTGGCCTATACAATGAATTCCGATGGTCGAGTCAGTGCTTTAATCCTCCCAGATGAGTCGAGTCTGGTACAAATTAACTGTTCCAGATAGAATGGGAAGCTTGGTTAGCCGAGACGGATATCGAGTCGGGATTGGAATCCGTGACCACGTGTGAGATAGTGCGCCCCTTGCCACTACCGCCCTAGTTGACGAGGGTGTATATCGTTTGGCGCAATTCCTCCCATCGCGCCGCGTCTAATAGTAGCAGTTCTTCGATCGCGCTGGATGGCCAATGGGTTGCGCGATTACCTAGACGAGTTGTCCAGCTCGCAAACCGAGTCGAATGGGCGGCGTGATGGGAGGGATGGCGCCAAACGATCGCTTCCCAGTTGACGATTATGAAAGGAAACATTGGCATTAGAAGGCATGCAGCAGTTTCCTCCCCAATCAAAATTTGTCCACTTGATTGGTCTACCTGGATCTTGGTTCTAACTAACTGAAACTGATCGCCGTGAAACAGCTTGCGCTATATGTTTGCTGTATTGAACTACTGAATCCTTTATTTATTTATTTATTTATTTATTTATTTATTTATTTATTTATTTATTAAATACACCTCAAGAGTGTGCCCATGGAAAAATGGCCTAAAGCAAGAAAAAAGAGAAACGCATCATAACAAAACACGGTAGAAAGGTTAGAACTAGAGCAGCGATGAGATAAGCAGAGATATTCGCACCCTGAGACATCAATGGAAAAAAGAGAGGAGCTAGGGCAATTCATCGTGAAGACGATAAGGTTGCTTACCCATGTCAAGCAGATAAGGGGTCCCCCGCAAGATCCTGGTCCTTGGTCCAGAACGCTAAGCGACAGAAGAACCGGGGCTTGCCGGCAACTTACAATTAGTCCGTTATGACGAATACGTCCGGAACCTGTATGCGTTATGCACTGTGTTTGTAGGGTTGAAATCGTTCCACTGACCGATACTGCATATATAAGTTTAGCATGCGATATTGTCTAAATACGGTCAAATGATGAAAACCGAATTGTTAACAAAACGCTTTCTGAACAGATCACAAAGATCCTTTCCAGATGAAAAGAAGGCTGGGGACTAAGAGAAATCACTACACTAATCCAAACCCGATCATGACCGCGGAAAAATTCCTTTCATAACATAACGAATCGTGCGGTCAATCAACCAGAAGGGGCGTGAACTAGTCAACATAAGGAACGTTCAAGAAGACATCATTTCACAAAGGCAGCACAATAATTTGTTAGCGTCTTCAACCATAGTTTTTCTGAAAATCATAAATCATCAGCAGTCCCTGGGCAAATCTACCATATACTCGGTTGTGAAGCTACAGAAAAGTTAAGAAGTGTCATCAAACAGAACGAAAGATACTATGTTGGTTTAGCACTATTTGTAGCTTATCAGGTTGCTTATGAGGTTGCACTGGGAGGATAAAAGCGTTGATTTGTACATCGGCTGGACACGGCAAACCACTGTATTGGTCATATACGCACTCATTACGCCCTTGCAATTCTGAATGAAAGTCGAGGTCGAACGCATCTCTCAGACGGGATTGACCGATGCCAAAAGGCCTATTCCCTAAGAATTTATGCGAAGGTGAAGAAAGAGACTTTTCCGAATGACGAAGCATTTCAAATCAGCATGGAACGTGATAGTGTCCCAGCATGATCACTAGTCAGAAGTCTACACAATTTGGTGCACAAAAAAGAAAACTTCAAATCGTAAAGCACGGACATGGAAAAGCATTGACACTGAACAGAACAAAAGTCGCATACTGAGTCATACTTATAAAGTTCCGATAAAGAAAATAAATAGGTAACACAAAATTTTGGCTCGAAAACAATGAAATGGCAAAGGGAGAAAGTCAGCACGTATAAAAGTTAAAATAACTGCTTCTGAAGGAGGGAGTAGATTGTTTATCAAGAAGATGGAAACGCCCGACTAAACTCGTAAGTATTCGAGAAAGCTCTTTAGTTTTGGTACGCTAACAACCTTCAATCTGCCCAATACAGTGCTGGAGAGGGAACAAAAATTTTCATAACTAATAAGTTACTGCCGAAAGCAAGCGGGCAGCAATAGTCCTTACCTGAGGTGGCATGAGGACTACATACGTACCACCTTAACAACACCATCATTTGTGGTATTCCTAGAAAATAAGCAGTACCGACACCACATTTACCAACAATTTACTATCACCAACTACAGTTGTAAGTTCAGAAAAAAAGAGAAAACTACACAACGACAGAAGTCCTTGCTAAGCAGTATACGGCCTGAATTCAACAGTCGTCCAGAGCGTGAATAAAAGCGTAGCTGTTGCACGTAAGTAAACAATATGGCTTTAGGAACAGGTATTTGGAGCAGAAGCAAGAAGAAGTGAAAGTGAGTGTGTCTCTAAGTCCACGGCCACGTGAAAAGCTCTGATCGAATCGCATCGAAGTGATCTCTGGTATATAACACTTAAAGGCACAGTTCACGATAATTCCGAGGTTCCCGTTTTTATACGAAAAGCGGAAGTACAGATTGGGAATAGTTCATCGGTAGAGAAGAAAGCGAGAGAATTCGCCGATTTCGGGGAAAACATGGATTCTCGAAAGTAGGGAAAATAGAGTCTGGACGAGATTGCCATGACGGGAACAACATGGAAGGGGAATTCGGACGAGATTTCA